GCAGAACAGTGTCCTGCTGTCAAGTGCTGTAGCACAGAAACACACCTCTGTCAAGCTGTGAAAAGCCCCAGAGTGAAAGCTAGGCATTCAGGGAAAAGGAAATTATAAATGCTACTGCTTGCCAGTGCTCCTCCATGGAGCAACATTCTCACTGCATTTATTTACGAACATGAAGCCAACTGGACTTCACTGACACTTCAGGATCAAGGAGAGGGCAATTTTTATCAGTATAAAACTTCATTACAAAAGTGAAAGTCTTTAGGTGAAATAAAATGTATTTTATGGTTGCGTGCACTTGCTACTGATGCTCTGAATAAAGATAATACTCTAAGAGGATGGAGATGTGTCACATGTGAACACGGGACAGGAATTCATTGCGCTTGAGCTACTTAACAAAGTGATTTCCTAACTGTGAGAAAAGAGACTATATTCTTCACTTCATTTTATTCAATCAATTTTACAGATAATTCACCCAGGACAGAAGTCAGCTGTACATCCTTCCAAGTTATGAAAAACCCTGGGGAATGAGCAACAGCCACAGCTTTAAGAAAGATGAGGGCTGGGGATGATCATAATGTCTTTGTTAAATTCTTGTCTTGCTGGAAATGTGAATCATGCTAAGATAATCATTATTTTCCATATGTATCCAGCATGTTCATTTAACTACTAAAAACATTGCTACAAATACTATTTTGGGGCCTTTTTAATTGGAATTCAGTTTCAATCCAAATGTTGCTTGACCCACCACGTGTTTAAAAATTACTCATATGCTATATGGCAGAAAAGCTGCCATTTACCTTATCCTAACTGAGAGGTATAAAAAAGAAGACTGAAATGTATTGTAAGAGACAGTATTGCTTAAATTCAAATGTACTGGTAGATGACCTTCATCAATAAAACGAAACAGAGAGTTTAGTGAAAAGGCTTATAATTAGTAATGAAAATCACCATATTTTGTTTCAGCCTTGAAAGACAACCAGTCTTCTTTGAGAACATCTTCTTAGAAAAAGAAACGCACACAACTATTAAAATTGATGATTTAAATAAGTGTTTCTTGCTCACGAAGCTGCTGCTGATCCACACTGATCCCTACCATTGTGGGGAAACAGAATTCTGGAGCAAGCAGTAGCAGAGATGCAGCAAAAGAAAGACTGTTCCAATCACTCACTTTCTGCCAGAGGACCAGAACCTATTTGACACACCCTCTGCCTTTAGAAATGGAGCATCACTTCTTCACTTTTTCCATGCCCTCACTGGGATTTGCAGGTTGTGCAGTCCTGGGGAAAGCAGAGGGCTCTGAATCCAGCCTTGTGGGCAGCCCCCCTCCCACCCATCAGCTCAGCCAGCTCCACACTGGGATGCAGGAGGCAGCAGCGTTGGACCGTGTGGTCTCACTGCAGCTTGGGGTACCCTGGTGCAGCCAAGATCGCCTCTGCTGCCAGCCCCTTTGTATTAAAGTTCCAACTAACACTTGGATACCTGAGCTGAATCGTAATGAGAGGGAGAAAGAAGAAAAGCAGTCAGGATGTTCCTGTTGATCATGTTGCATCTCTAATGAAGACTTTCTTCCCTTTTTATAAGGGGTTATCCCTCAACACTGCCATCCTTGCCATCTCAGTTTTCTTTCCCATCCCACAGCACCTCAACCCAACCACACCACAGGGGCACCTTCCTGCCCTCTCCACTGAACACAGTGATTGCTCAGGCCCCACGTGGGGCCCTGAGCAGCAGCTGGAAGCTAGCAAGCCCCCAGCACAGGCCTTCACCTGTTCAGATGAAGCTCTGAGTCGCAGCAAATGCTATTTTTGGGCAGCTGCCAACTGCATGGGAAAGCAAAAGAATCCTAAACAGCCAGCACGGCTTCACCAAGGGGTGGCAGCAGGGAGAGGGAGGGGACTGTCCCCTTCTGCTCTGCACTGTGCGGCCCCACCTGCACTACTGCACCCAGGACTGGGCCTCCAGCACAGGAGGGATGCAGAGCTGCTGGAGCGGGTCCAAAGAAGGGCCGTGCTGATGGTCAGAGGCTGCAGCACCTCTCCTGTGAGGAAAGGCTGAGGCAGCTGTGCTTGTTCAGCTTGGAGAACCCCTCAGGGAGACCTCATTGCGGCCTTCTAGCGCTTGAAGGGAGCTTACATGCAGGAGTGGGATCGACTTTTTACACAGGCTGACAGTGACAGGACTAGGGGGAACGGCTTTATACTAAAAGAGTGGAGATTTAGGTTAGATCTTAGAGAGAACTTTTTTTTACTTAGAGGGTGGTGAGGCACTGGAGCCCACAGAAGCTGCGGGTGCCCCATCCCTCCCTGGAGTCTTTCAAGGCCAGGTCAGATGGGTTCTTGAACAGCTTGATCTAGTGGCTGGCAATTAGCCCATGACAGGGAGTTGGAGCCTGATGATCTTAACGTACTGTCCAAGCTATCTATGATTCCATGATTCTAACCAAAATGGGAATATTTTGTCTGCTGCCCTGCATGCAGTGAGAGGTGTGTGTCACTGGGGGATCCCCTCGCTCTGTGTGCCCTGGAGTGCAGCAGGGTGACTTTGCCTGAAGAGCTAGGACAGCAGCAAAGGTGAAATATTCTTGCCATTTCTCTCCTGCTGCCCTCCATCTCTTTGTCCCTTTATGCCTGCTCCCTTTGCCCCGTCCCTGTGCAGCTGGCCACATGCCAGTGATGCCAGTGAACAGAAATGACGAGCTCTTCTGTGATTTGCAGCTATATACGCATATAAAAACAAATTAATCTAATTTTTCAGAAGCTCAAGCCTAAATAATTTATTTCTGTATGCTGTCTTCAGTGGGCTGTCCCCACACTTCCTGATCAAAACACCACTGCTCTGTGAGCAATTTCAGCTCCAAGAATTACTTTTGGATAACGCTATCAGCTGCCAGGAAAGTCTGATCCCAGCCTCTGATCTTAATAAAGTCTTTCAAGCTTTTTCCTAATGTCATAAATATAAAACAAGATGAGAAGTGAATGGCACCAAAGCTGCAGTCGTGAACCCTGTCCAGATGAGGAGGAAGCTCCGTGGCTGTTCTGGCAGGCTGTGGGCCAGGATAGCCTCTCCATTTAGTGAGAAAAGAGCTACTATTGGCCGGGCAGTGTTTGTCAAGAGGGCAATGAGACAAACAGCCCTGGGGTAGAACTTGGAACTTGTCAGCAGGACACATAGGAGGAAGATTCATACCTGCTCACCGATAAAGGCTTTTGCTGAAAATCCCTCAGAAGACAATACTTGGCTTTTCCTGCTCTTGACCACACGCTCCGTAATGCTCTGCATCACGTGCATTCACAGTCACCTGCATGTCAGTGAGAGCACTTCATGTGACACCAGGTGTAACTGAATAAACCAGGCTTTTTATTTTGGATATGGCTGAGGGCTACCAGGGCATCCACAAAACACATCCAGCATTCCTATACTCTTTGCTTTAAGCAAACCCACTCGTGATGATGGGGAAAATGGGCTGGTTTTGGTCTTCGTTTCAAAATGAGCTCTCACGGAGGGCTGGCTGAGCTGTTCTGACTCAGCTTCTGCAGGCTGTGTGACAATAGCAGCAAGCCAGTCTAACTGTGAGCCAATGGAGTGCTGGGGGAGAGGAGCATCTGAGGACATGGGGTGGGATGGATGCCTCAGAGAGTGGGAAGGCAGAGGGCAGAGGAGTACCTGCCCTGTGCTCCAAATCCAGAGACAGGTCACTTTTCCTGATGTGCTGTGCAATAAGCAACCAAGAGTAAGGAGCATTCAGGAAAGGGGAACCAGAACTGAAATCCCACAGGAGGAAGCCCACGTGAAGGAATACTGCACGTCAGTATCTCAGGTCCTCTCCCACTGACAACAGGACTGTAGCTGTCCCACCAGTCTGATTCACCCACCACACTTGGCAGAAGGTAGAACCATGGCATGCTGGCACGCTCTGCCAGTCAAAGAAGTTATGAAAAATGTTTTCCTTTCATCTGCTTGAAAATACACCATTCTCTTCTTTTATCTGTCTTAAGTGCCAGAAGAGCGTGATGTTAATGAGATGTACAAAGCCTTTTGGGTAGCGGAACAGTTTTATGGCCCCACATCGATAAATTAAGGCATTTGTCACTGTTACCACATTAATGTTTCTTCCTGAGATCAAAGTCTGAATTTGCTGTCTCAAATAGTACCATCCTCTGCTACACATTACTTTCCAAGGAAATGAACTGTGATTCCATATTTTACATTCAGTTTAATCACACCCTGATTCTCATGCCTGATGATTGCCATCTCCACATGCAGTGTGCAAGCCATATTTTAGCAGGGATTTTCTCTTTACTACCTGTGTGAAATGCCTGATTATCTTGTTTCACCACCTCCTTGCTTTGAAAGGCTGCTTCTTCATAAAGAATATAGACAGTTTCCTTCCTCCTGAATCCCTGGATTCAGCCACATTAATTTAGGTTTATATAGCACCTTTCATCCCTGAAGACCCCAACACACTCTTCAAACTCACCTTCCTGTACACAGAAGTGGTACAAATACACACAGCTACAGAAACAGATGCAGGAATCCTTTCAGCAACCACCAAAATGCATCTCTCTGCACTCCTGGCCAGCCAGTCCTGCCTACCCTACATCCTATCTCCATCAAGTAGGAAACCAAGGCAGCATGACTTAGAGGTATGTCATTTCCCTGCCAGAGAAATGTGAGGAATCTGGGCAAACTACAAAACAGCTTTGCAGCCCGGGTAACAGACATCTCCTTGGCACTCTGCCACGCAGGTTGAAATGAGGTAAGGTCTGATTTGTGGTGAATAATGCCTTGCTTCTCTGGCAGGGACTCCCAAAGCTTGCAAAAGTCCATGCTTGCTGCTCCCTTCTACTGATGGGTTACCCTCAAGCAGTTTGCTTTACAAAACGTAAAATGCCTCCCTGCTTTGTCATGAAAACTCAAGGGCAAATAGATCTTCCTGACCAAAAGTAGTTGACTGGCTCTGGCCAACGGGGGGCTGAGAGGAAGGGGGAACCCTCACATACCTGAGAAACCTTTTTGACCACATCGCTGCCCACGAGGAAGCCCTGTGCATAGGAGCGTGCCACGATGAAGGCTCGTGTTGCCTTCACCTTCAGGTCCCTGGGAACCTCCCCGAAGGGCTTGTGCTGCTCTGCATGTTTCACCATGCAGTCCAGGTACTCATCAGTGATGTGGTACTGGGCATTCATCAGCTTGAAGAGTCGTTCCAGCAAGCGTGTCCAGAATTCATTCAGGGCCTCTTCCAAGTTGATGTTGGAGCCCCTGTAGTAGCGGCGTAGCTCACTGTACAAGTCCTTGAAGACTTTTGCATTCTGAGTGTATAGTTCTCCATACAGGCTTGGAAAAGTATCATAAAGGGCTTTTTCTGACTTGTTCAACAAATCCTGGAAATAATCTGAAGAGAGAGGAAAAAAGAGGTCAGTTGCACAAGGAGGAACCTAGCGGGCTGTGCCTTCCAGCAGCACAACTGCCCTGACATGAACAGACTCTAACAGAGCTTTTCCTCTATCTAGCCTTACCCAGCTGCTCAGCTTCTAGCTTCGGATGAGAAGAGTAAAGGAGAAACCCCAATGCAGCCCCAGAGCATCACGGCCTGATCCCATCCATCTCCCCAGAGGCCACAACTAAGGATACTCTCCTAGCATGCTCACCAAGGACTCCTGCCCTGCTGTAGCAGCAAAAGGCCCCGCTGCTTCCCCACTCAGTCTGCAGCCAGGCACCACACCAGCCAAAGCTCACAGCCAGGGGCATTGTGTAGGCATGCCTAGTGCAGCCTGCAGAAATCTAACAGCAGCTGTGCATTGTCAACATCTGTGCCATTCTGTAGCCTGATTTCTGCCTGGCTAACCTTGCCAAGCCTCATCTGTAAACTGCCATGAGAGTCATTCTGATACAGACTTGTCAGCACAGCAGGTGCTAAACGCTGTTCTTCTGCACCCCAGGGCACAGAGAGCTCACATGCACAAGGTAGCAGAGAATAGCCAGGGGCAGAACTCTGGCACATAGCAGGTGAGCAAACAACTCCTGAGCTTGAATCTCTGCCCATTAGAGAGGTCCAAGACAACTACTTGATTCAGCATAAAATCCACAGAAGAATCGTGCTCATGTTCACCAGGAGCAGCCATGCAGGTGCCACACTGAAAAGCACCCAACTGCACAGACTCCCACTGCTCATCACACCAGCAATTTTCAGGCAAGCGCACAAAACTCCAACTATTCAGTGAAGACAAGAACTCAGTGTCACTCATCTGAGGAATTGCTTATATAGCTGAGGAGAAAAAGGAATGTGCTATACCGTTACTTCCACATTTTCCTTTCGAAATGCATCAGCTGGCACTGCAGGAGGTGCTCAGCCTGAAGCAGGAATTGGATGCACCCAGATGCTTTGGGAGAGAGATGCTGTGTTTGAGGTTCTCATCCCATTTGCTAATTTGCACCACACTTTTATTTAGGTACAAGCAGTGAGGTGGTTCCACGCCCTGGGCTCCATGGGCACAGCTGTGACAGAAGTGTGACTGCAGAGCAGGGAGATGACACCCTGTGCTCTCCCCACAGCACCTGTGTGTGCTCCCATTCCCATCCTGCTGGCTCCTTCAGGCTGCACCGCAGGGAACTCACAGCAGCACAGACCCAATTTAATTTATTGATTGACATCAGAAACTTGAGCCATCATTCAAGTCAGTGAGAGGAGAAAAATGATTTGAATGATAACTTTCACTTCAATTACGTTCATACCTTTTAAGGCCTTTTTGAAGCAAACCTTATTATACTATTCTTTAAATCTAAGCTTTTTTTTTTGGTGATGTATGATAAGCTCTAGATGAAGGGAAACCATTATTCAATTAAAATGCACTAACAGTCAAACAGCGTGCATTTAAGGTATATAAATGAAGTTCACTGTGCCAAAGCATAGAAGCAAAGAAAGAAAAGCTTCTGAAAAATGCATAGTGCAGATACAAAGTTTTTAGACAAAGTATTTTTTGAGGGAACACCACTGACTATAAACAGCTCTGAAATTGTGTAGCCAGTAAAGGCTCATTTCTACCAGCCTGATTTCTGGGGCAGTCTTTCCTATACTACAATTTCCAACTCCATTTCTCAGATTTGAATGAAGCCAGAACTCAACGAGAGGACAGAACAAACGAGAACAACCTGCCCATGGCTGCTAATGCAGGAACTCCTGCTATGTGAGCAAACTGCTTCCAACGACCAGCAGCCTCACTCCTACAACCACATCACCTACTGCTTAATAGTTCACATTTTCCTTTAAGTACTTTTGATGGTTTGTAAGCAAAATATGTCTTAGCACAAAGAAAACAAAAATGTGTTGATCAAAATTAAAACACTTGAATAAAAACTGGCTTTCAGATTTAGTTCTTGAAGCAATCCACTCTCACTGGATCTGACCCGGGTGGCAGTGCATAGCTGTGCTGGGATCCCTCCCTTCCCTGGAGGACTGATTTGTATTTGTTTGCTCATCTTCCTGTTTAAAGCTCATGGCTTGGCACTCACCATCAGGAGGAAGAAAACACCAGCAAACTCAACAGCTCCATTTGTCTGTTTAAGGCAAAATGACTTTTTCTGTTGCATGGAAACAGCAGAAACAGGATGTATACCTTTCTGTCAAAAAATTAGAAATTGCTCTCAAACAATCCAGCCTAATTAAGAGTTGATGAACTATTACTTCTCACCTAAGTGAGAGAACGCCAATTACAATCAATTCATTTGAGGCTGGTTCTCAGAAAGTTCTTCTAGATTTCACACAGCGAGAAAAAATATATCTACATCATCCAGGGAAAATTAATTAGCAATTAAACCTAAATGTGCTTGTGATGAACAGCTGATCTGGCAGGGAATTGAGATGCACTCCTGGCAGCACTGGCAGGCACTCGGAAGAGGGCTGTGCCAAGAGGGCTGCACGGAGCTCCACAGCTCGGCACAAGCTCAGCCTGCATCTGCGGGCCCCGCAGCCCCTGCAACCTGCACTGCATCGGTGCCCCTGCTCTGTCTTTAGCTGCGTGGCACGGATGATGGCTGTGCACGGCATCAAGGCTAAACAAGCAGCTGGAGCACACCTCGGAACACCGTCCTGACTGACGTTGGGATGGTTCAGCCCAGGTGACAGCCCACTGCCTGCACCCTGAGGTGGGAAGCTGTCGTAATGAGCGCTCACAGCACTTGTACAAGAGGTGAAAGATAGCCCTATGGGCCCTTCTGGGCTCCTTCACTCTCACTGGATTCACCACTTCTGGGTCTGCCCAGGCTCCTAAGGGACAACATGGCAAGCAGGGCACGGGCACACAGACATTACCCCGGGCTCCATCCGAGGACACATCCTCACCACATCCCTGCCATACCCCACCATCCCAAGGCCCTGAGCTCTGCCACCACCACCACGTCCTCCCGACCAGCAGCAGTGCTCTCACACTGCGATTCCTGCATGCCCTGCAGCTTGCACCTTCCCTGCATCACCACTGCTCCCCCTGGGAACGGCCCCAGCCAGCGGGGTGACTGTACAGCCAGCTGCTCTGGAAGTGATGCGCCCGCTTCTGCTTTGTGACTCAAGGAAGTAGGGATAGATTGTCTAGATCCATGTTGGAAAAAAGCAGACTTTCCTAGCTTCTGGCAGTCTTAGAAATTTTGCAACAGAGGCACAGAAAGCAGAGATCCCTTCCTGAGAGGCACCCGCCAAAGCCTGGCTGGGCTCCTGCTCCTCCAGGAGCACGCATTGCCAGAAGTCAGGCGGGTCCTTCCTGGTGCTGCTTTGAGGTTTGGAGCACACACATCCCAGCAGCCGCTTTTGGAAAGGCGGCCATTGGGCCACACCAACCACAACTCCCCCCAGGCAAAGAAAGGCACAGCTCCTTGGTCAAGGCTGTTCTCCTGTGAAACATCCCCTTTCACATGCCAGTTGCAGAACTAACCAAACGAAAAACCACAGCACAGCACTGTGTTGTTACTGTTATTATTATTATTTCTTCTTACTTCCAGGTTCAGAAAGAGGACAACCAGTTTCACTCAAATTAAGTTTGCCTTTTGGCAGTGGCTAGGTCTGAAAAACTCTCTGAAATTCAAAGATGCCAGAAAGCTCTGAGCAAAGAAACAGAAGGGTTTTACAAGGGATGCAACTCTGCAGCTCTGGCCACTGTTTCTCCTTCTGTGGTAGTGACAAAAAATTGCTTACAGAGGATTAAGTTTTCAACCAGAATCTATTAGCTTCGCATTTGGGAGCAATCGGAAATCCCCACCCTTTCCACTTCACAGCTTCCCAGTGTTCACAGCCCATATTTTCACAGTTTTCACATTTTCACAACTCTGGATTCAAACTGGGAAGCTGTGAGGGGTGAAGCAGAGACCGGCCGTTCCCTTTGTGGAGATGGCAAATTCTGAGCTCCCCTCCTCACCACAAAGTGCTTTTTCCAAGCTCTTTGATACCATTTGATCACTCCACAGCTGGAGCACACTGGAGTCTCTTCAACCAATGCGATGACGGAGTGGGAATGAACGCAGGGGGAAACAAAGAGGCCATGAAGGGCATCCAAATGCTCTGTGGGCATGCATCACATTTGTCTTTCTTCAAAACTCATACCATTTTAGAGGTCAGACTAGGAAAAAAATAAGAAAATTGGAGAAAGGTGACCGAATTAATTTCAATCTGAATATTATTAAAGCTTTAAGCAGAAAACCAAAGAACAAAAGCTCATCTGCACAGGTGGAAAGAGTACATCCAGATTGGAAGAGATGAGGAAAGAAAACGCGTTGCTCAGATGATGACATTATGCCAAGTTTCAAGGAGAAGCCCTTCCTGAAGGCAGTGGATGACTGGATTTGGTCAAGACCAAGTGACAACCCCCAGGTACTGCCACTCAGTCCTGCAGGGTTGGGGAACCCCACTGCCAGCAACACCTCCACTGCTTCGCCTCCCCTGGCAGCCCCACACTCTCCTGTTTCCTCCTTTCTCAAGACAAGAGCAAACTGCTCCAGGACTGCAAGATTCAGTTTTGCTTATGTTTCTGAAAAGCACTGAGTAGTTCCTGCAAGAGCTCCCAACAACATCCACTGAAAACACGTGGTGCAGCAGTGCTGTATGGCAGCAGAAATGCTAGCTCCGTGCAAATACTATGGAAGCTCTGGCACAGCAAAGCAAGCTCTCCTAGTTTGATAGTTTTGAATGGCAAGCTAGGCTTGCAGTCAGAAGAGGAAGAGGCATCAAAAACCATGCTGTGATTCCTCATGTTTGAGCAAATATGCGAGTCTGTGAAGGCCTTCACAGGGGCCAAGGAAGGGTGGCTGAAGGAAATATGCACACCATTAACACTGCTATCATGTTTCAAAAAGAAGAGAAAAGAAATAAGCTGACTCTGAGACGTCCTCCACATCAGCAAAAGCAGGGAA